AGGGCGCCAGGGGAGATATCAGCAAAGACAAGAAGAAAACACCGTCTATTTAATTTTATTTTGAATTTATTAATTTGTCAATACACAAACAATACATGAATGCATATTCAAAAACATCAGACATTACAGTTAAAGCCAAATGCACGCCACCAAGCTACCTTTAACAGTTTGGTTATGTTTCCACACTCTTATTTCTAGGTACACGGGTAGGTACGCAGAGTGCCCCACACAGCAATCGTGGGAGCGCGTGTGTTCACGGCTACAGTATCTTCTGTATGCGCCACTGCCCTCGATCCCCCCAGCTACGGGCAAACGGAGCAATGGATCCCAGGGCCTCTCCGTATCAGCACAGGCAGGCGGGGCGCTATTCTCTCTCACTGGACCCTAAGACTTCATAAAGCCTGTCACATTCCATCCTCTTGGTGGGCACTTTGCTTCTCTCCAATTATAAAGCATTACGAGTGCTGGTTCTGTACAAGCTGCCATGTGCAATGTGTCTTTCTTTAGGGTTTATATTAAACGCGGAATTGTTGGGTGGCAGGGGACGTGAATTTTAAAATTCAGTGGAGAATAAGTTTAGAAATGTGTTTATAAGTGGCTGTGCCTGCTTGAGTGATCACCAGCAACTCGGGACTCCTGTTTCCACTTCTTCTTCATCTACATACTTAACGTTTGCCGCCGGAGCTGAGATTGTGTCTTGTGTTTTCCTGCTCGTTTTTTTGTATCTTGCTGAGGTTGCGTTTTCTCCTCACCATCTATTTGTAAAACTTTTTACTTAGATGCATGATCAGAACAATCAATTTCTAAAGAGACATGTGCCCCCAAAATAGAAGATTCATGCCAGTGAATATTCATTTTTCTGAGAAATCTGAATGAGTGGCTGCGCTGTGGCAATACTAACTGTTGACTAATTCTTTCTCTTCTGATGTGAAACGTCACTTCGATCGATTGATCGATTGGGAACAGGTGTGTTTAGATGCTCAGTTCTATTAGATTTTTGCCATCAGGTACCTATTTCCTCACTTGGTTCACTGAATACAATGACTGGTCAGCCAACATAAACGTGCTACTTATGAGACAAGAGACGTGTAATTCATGACACACGACTATTCTAGGTCAGTTAGGTCTACATCAGTTCCAATAGCTAAAAACTTGAGTATTAAAAGTGTGTAAACTTCTCTTCCGGACTCGTTCTGTTTTTGGGGGGACACTGCACAGGCTCAATGTCGAAGAAGGAGGCTACAGTTCCCTCCATTTCCAGAAATGTTATTTGGTGTTAAAGCTTTTTGGTGATTCAGTTATGCTGGGCAACTGCAAAGGGTTTTGCGTGGCATGGCAATATTCCTGCAGAGCTGTAAGACCCTGTCACTTCGCTAATGCTGAGGCCCCAAACCATGATGCCGACTGTGGACAGACGACATGGCGCTCCAGCCTTCCTGCTCACACAGCACAGCGAGCTCCTGAGGGCGCAAATCACGCCCGTCCGTCGTTCTATCCTCGAACAACCAGTAGAGGGTGCGGTGCCTGAACTGGGATAGAATTGCATTGCATTTCAACAAGGTTTCTCTAAAAAAAAACAAAACAAAAACCAAGCTTCTCCAAAACTTCAGCTTGGGGGCGTTTCAGAATTATACAGATTTTTTTCTAGTCTGCTGCCTGATCAAATGATATGTTTTAGTTTTTAGCAGAAAAACTAGAACTAGACACTGACCTGGTATGTCATGCCCAAGTGTGGGGAAAACGCTCCTTTGCTGTCGGTGGGCTTCCTCGGGTGTCATCTGTCTGTGGATGTGTTGCTGGCCTGGGAAATGACGGCTAAGACTTGTGGTCTTTTGTATGGCAGCGGGCACTTGTCATCTGGACATACTGAAGGCAGAGGACTGAAACAAAAAGGTGACTTCAAGTGTGGCATTTATCTTGTTTTAAAAATCTCATTTTTTTTCACGCCTTTTCCTTCCCTCTTCCCAAGGGATAACTATGGCTTCTGTAGGCGATGCCAGTTTGTAAACTTAGAAACTCCAGCCCCATGATACGATAGTGGAAAAACTCAGCAAACTGCTAATCTATCAGTTTCCCTGGTAAGGAGGAGAAATAAAGTCAATTCTCGATCTAGGTTGAACAAGTTCATTGACCAAGTGGACTGCACCAGTGAGAAATATCAGCTTCTTCCTTTGCGGTCACCAATCCCGAAATGCTGTCTTACTTTTTGACGGTTCCATTAAAAAAAAAAAAAGTGCATCTGTGAACTTTCACTTGCTTTTTGCATAGTACCTCACTTAGCAGTTTTTGCTTTAAATACAGCACTTCACAGCAGCTGTACTCACTAAGGAAAGTTACCGAAGCACCTGAAAATTAAGTAGTCCTCCACCTACTAAGGTGGCATGGAAGCATGAGTCAGGGATGTATTCTGGAATGTCGAAAAGGGGAAACGGGTGCAAATACATATTGCAAAGCAGTAAACGATGAGTATTGCTAGAAAACAGGTGTCGATTATCAGGAGGCTCTAGATGGGGGGAAAGGCGCAGTTCTGCAATGAGCAGACTCACAGAGGACGGCCACTGGGCTCATCTATGCTGAAGCTCAGAAACCTACTGATTTGGGTTGTCAGTACCTGCAATGGGGCAGAACAAGGACTAGCTCTCAGGGAGAGGATTAAATTTAGTCTACCTTTTGGGATGAAGTTAAATTCCTTAAAGAGGCATAATGTGACGACCAGGCAATTCCCCTTTTTGTTAAACTTGGGGAATTCCTTTAGCAGTAAACAAAGATATTTGCGTCACAGATCCATGGCTGCTGGACATAAAACCAGACCGAAACTTTCAAGTATGTGTCGAGGTTTGCTGATTTATCTCGAAGGGCAGGAACAGCATGAGGTTGGGAGTGAAGCACTTGCTGAAAACAGAAAACTTCCAAGTCACACTTCCTTCGTGAGCGTCACAAGGCTGCCTGTGTCACTTGCTTTTCACCATTTCCCTTGTGGATTATGGAACTCCTCAAGTATTTCTCAGCTTCCAGCTTCAGTCCTCCAATCTACCCCCCACTTGCCACTGCGACAGGGTTGAGCACAATAGCCTACTCGTGAAATCGTTCAGGAAGCCATTCCTGCTTTCTTAGTAGATGTCACACTGCCAGCGTTGGTGGGCCAGTCACTGTCCCAGCGAATTCTGGGGCTTGGATATGACTTTAGATCTTTGAGTTTTCTTGTGCTTGGAATGCCCTTCCCCTTGGCTCTTGTGACCTTTAAGACGCAGATGTCACCGCTTAGGAAACTATCCTGAAGCCATCCCTGACTGTAGCTAAGTATTTCTTGTTACACTGTACCAGTTGGCTTGTTTATCTCCTTAAACTGTGACTCTTCAAGGCGGGGACTAGCCTTTTAGCAGGACTATTAAAAGTACAGCGCTTCATTTAACTTAACAATTGAAGTAACTTAATGTTAATACTTAATCCCAACTCCCTACTTGTCTGTTTTGTTGGGAAGCTGTATAGTCACATTGGAGCTGCCTAAAATGAATTTTCTTTGGGGAAAGTTAAATTGTAAACACTTCTTACCTACGACTTCCTGGTTGGCTGAATTACACCAACAGAAAGCTTATGTAGCACCTTGGTCTAGAGGAAACTCCAGTAAGACTAAGCTTCCAAACTGGATTTCAATTAGGTAACTGTAGCTATCTGGAGCAAGAGATCCTAAGTCTCCAAGGCAAAACTGAGTTCAAGGTCCTAAGCGATGTGACCAACTAAGGGTAGCCCGACATTTCCAACCACAAGAACGGCTTCCCCGCCTTCAGGTTGTTCCTCACTCTGGAGTGTGGGGTGTGTGCTTCACAGGAAGACATCTTTCCATGGCTTTTTTATTTTGAGGGGGCTTTTGGGGTAGTTTGGGTTTTAAGGGCAGAAGTGAGTAAATGGAGGATAGGCACAATAATTTTGCATTTTTGAACACTGCACCATGAATTGACATACGGCATTAAGCTGACTTTTCTTAATGTTTAAGGCTCTTGATAACACATTGCTGAATTGCGTTCTGGAGTCACAGCAAAGCCTGCCTTACTACAGTAAGACTTGCACTTAAGAGATGGAATAATTCGGTAAAAGTACTAATTTGCATTTCTTAGGTTTCTAGAGGTTGAACCTTTAGAAACCAATTTATTTTTTCTGTTAACTGTTTTCTTTTTGTATTTTTTAAATATAGTAGCAACTACTGTTAATTATTATTTTAAACTTTAACATATTAATCCTATCTTTGATGACTACTATCATACTTCGCTTACGAATTATATTTTCTATTCCCAGAATCAAAACCTATCTGTTCATGAAAACTGCCACTGGTTTTTCTGCGGTGCCAGGGATTGAACCCAAGGCCTGACGTATGCTGGGAAAGTGGTTTACCACTGGGTGCCTCCCCAGCCCTTTCTAGGGTTAGTTTCCAGCACTGTCAGGACGCACCCCAACAGCAAAGTTCCAGGGCCTGCCTCACCTGTGGCACTCCACGCTGAAGGTTACTCAAGTCCACATACTCAGCTCCTTTCAACTTTCCTAGCATCATTAGTTAGCATTCAGACTTTGCTCACTGAACCCTTATCCTGCAGCATTACAATATAAAATATTTGGCAATCCCACGTACACCTCAATTTTATGCCTTTAGTTTGTGGCTAGTCTATTCCAAACAGATAACCCTCTTTACACACAGAGAGCTCACTACTGCTTTTCTTTAACTCCTGACCAGCTGGCGGGCTACAGATACAATGCATGTTAATCTCTGCAGGCACCTTTCTGAATTCAAGTAAAAGTTTTGGTAGACAAGGATTTCTTACTATCATTAACATAGTAATATGAATATTGAGTACAAATATTGCTCAGCATTCTTCAAATAATTTTACTTTGAGAATTTAAGAACTATCATTAAGTCATTAATAACACAGGTTTCCATTTAAGGAATATTTTGAACTGTGAAAATACAAATCTAGTCAAATTTTGAACACATATAGAGCCAAATATTTCAACAAAACTGCAGTTTAATTTCAGAAAATGTGTTAAAATATAATTTATACATCAATTTCTGACATACACTTAATGTGTTAGTATCCACAAAATGATGCTTTCTCTTGAAACTGTATTTATGAAATGTACAATTTAATTTAAATACTCAGTATACACTGCACTTAATCTGCATGTTGCATTTATTAAATACATTAAAATCTGCAATGTAACAAAATGTTTTTTTGCATACGAAATTCAAAACACCATTTTAAATGAACAAAAGATGGCTCACTTCATTTTTGTTTTTGTACAACTAGTGCACTGTGCACTACTCAGCTCCACCACACGACCTCTTCGTTCTTTTTTTATTTGACGCTGTTCACAGACTAGTACATATCACAATAAGAGTGCTGGGTAAAACGTGAGGTACGAAAGGGTTCAAAGGTTATAGGTCATGCAGATCATGCTAGACAGCAAAGAAAATTGTGACCCAGAAAATACTAAATAAAATACATAAAGAATGTGCATTATTAAAAAAAACAAAACAAAACAAAACTCCATTACACAGCTTTGCTTCTTTGGTTACAAAGTAGGTTGAACAATTTCACAGCTTTTTATTCCCACCCAAAAAAAAAGTCATACGAAATGTTGAAAAGCAGAGGAATCGTGGCAATTTCTCTATAAGAAAGTAGAAACAAATGAACAAAGTTTTCTTCATCAAAATAGCCCAATTATTTATTATATCACAATAACTGGTGACTACCTGTACAGTTGCACTATGTTCTTCATCTTACACTATACAAAATTTACATTCGAGCTGGGTCTTTACTACTGAAAATAAATACCAAGGGTAAATTGCCATTAGTGTTAGAAATATGCCAGGATTCTTTTGTTCAATTATTGCCTAAACGTTTTACCTATTAGATGCAATCCTGTCTTCAATTCCTTTACTGATACTTATAATTATTCAAAAAAAATTAAAAAAGTTCTGTGACATTGTTCATGTACATTATGAAAATAGCAGCCCTGTAATAAATAAAACACAAATAAATGAAAACTTATGTAGGCAAATGTTACTGATATGGAAAGAAAAGTGGCTCTTTAGATGAACTGTTATTTATAATGAGAGGAAGGCTCAAGGTAAATCTATGGGCAACAGGAAACACAAGAGAGCCACCAAAACTCTTCAAGACCCTACCCAGGCAGACCTTGCTTTGCTCTGTAAACCCCTTCTTTCTACCATTCTCCTTGTGCACTGATGACAAGACAGGATACCCACTGTGCTGAGGACATCTCAGAGAGAGGAAAAGCTCTTGTAGGATGATTGTCTAATACTGAAAAGGCAAACACACAACCGAAGCGTGGCTACTTGCTTTCGTACAAAGTGGGAATTTAGAACACCAGTGGCACACAGGAAAGACTGCTGTCAGTCTTCTGCACTGCACTGAGCAGGCGTGAGAGGGCTTTAGGCTGAGGAGACATTCGGCTGCTGTGGAGGCTGTGCTGGCTGAGGAGGCTGTGCTATCGCTGCTTGCTGCTGAGAGGTGCTACTGGGGTTGGCCTGTTGGGCTGGGAGTTGGGATAACTGATCATTGTTGGAAAGAGATTTTAACAGTGCATTTTCTCGTTCAAGTAAAGAGTTTCTTTCAACTAATTCTTTTATTTGTTCCTTTAGAACTTCCACTTCTTCTCTTACTGCGTACATCAAATGGCTTTTCACCAGATCCTGTAAAAGACAAAACCAGGAACGTCAAAGTGAGTAAAGGGGTGCACTGTTGTTAGTTCTCCTGCCATCTCTGCCTGGTCTACGGGAGACGGGGTGGGAAAAAAATCTGGTGCAGTGAGCGCGGTTTCTTTTCAAAATTTAGAATCATTTCCAAAAATGTTCACTCCCTAAATTGCCAATTGTAAGCTTAGAATTTTTTTAAAAAGTCTGAAATCATATGCCTACATGTTAGAGCAAGAGAACAAAGGAGTAATACTTCAATGGAAAACTATCTGACATGAAACTGGTCATAGCAGTACTTCGAGATTAAAGTGACATGTGATTTCCAATTTAAAATATTAGGATTTTTTTCTAATAGTTTGAGATAAATAGTCCTTATTTATAGCTTTATCTATACTTTCAATAAACTTGAATCAAAGTATTTTATAAAGTCTAAACAAAGTATCTTTAAGGGAACAAAAAAACTGATAGCAATATCAAGAACCAGAACCAAGTCTACTTATGAAAGCTTATTCAACAGTGCCTGGAAATAACCGAAGGATGAGGATGAAGACTTTGTGCTGAACACACTGCGTTTAACTGTGCACACCACTCTCCAGCGGCTCCACTCTAGGGCAATGCATGCTGCATGAGGTGTTGAAACAGGAGAAAGCTACTCCACTGTGCTTCTCCACTTACAAATTCTCAGTGTTCAACATTTTCAATTGATTCTCACTCTCAAAAATATAATTTTATCATCACTGGTTTAAAGAATGTAGGTGCTTGTGGTCTAGGCTTGATAAAAACAAAGTGTTTCACACAATCCATGAAATGAGGGACTAAAAACTTTTACTTACCATTGCTTGTTCTATTTTGTTGTCAATGGCTACAACACCTCCCCCAGATGCACTGGAAAAAATTAGAATATTTCATTATATTATTCTTAAAATTTTAACCTCCCTTCCAACTCTTTAAGATAATGTAAGACATGTGTTTTACTACAAACCAAACCTGAGCATTTAAAATAGTTTCTTAATTTGTAACTTCAATATTCAGAGCCCTGACTTTTAAAATGAGGGCCTCAGTAAATGGATGACTTTTAAAATCCTTTTGTGGTTCAACATTTACAATTTGCCTGATACACAGCTGCCTTACTCAGGAACTCTCTTCAGTACCCTCTCATTCTCCCTCAAACTTCATTAGCCACCTATCCATTCTAGTGCTTTTCCTGTGAAAATCACTGTGATTACTTATTGCATTAAACTCATATGATGATTTTCCTTCTACATGCTTTTATTTTAGTATCTGTTTTTTTAAATTTGTAGGAATGGGCTTTTAGAAAGGCTGGTTAAGAAGGAACTTAACATCTGGTACACCTACATGCTTTGATTGTAGGCTACTTGCTGGCAAAAGGCATGTGGTTTAGACGAGTTTGTCCTGAAAATAATTAGAAGTAGTCTAGCCAGTACAAACATCCCAAGTTCAAACATCACCTCAGCATTTGTACAATCACACAGAGGGTTAAGTAATTGTTCTCTTTGGTGGTTTATATCCCCCCATGTATGAAGCAGTAAGCAAGAATTTATATCCTCTGGTATTTTTAAATTTTGAAATAGCAACTAGATTTAAAAAAGAAAAATTACTCATACAGGAAAATCTGATACTTCATCAGTACAAAATAGGTCTTAAAACAATTTTTATACAAAATATCAGTAAATACTCTTCATAAAGTATACCCCACCTTAGAAGATTATGGAGCTAAAATGTCTGAGGCTATTTTACTTTACATGTGTGGCCCCTCAATGTTACAATGCTACATTAGATGGGGCTCAGAAATACCCTGACTGGCATGTATGTTTGAGACTGTGATCCCAGTAGGCCTGGCCAGATCCCTGTTCCGTTAACTCACGCTACCCATGTAATCACCAGCAAATTGCCGTCTGCTTAACTTCCCTGGGCTTCAGCTTCCCTATCTGTGAAATGCAGGGGTTGGGGCCCATGGGTCAATGGACTGCCCACTCCTCAGTCCTTAAAACCCTAAATCAACACAGGAAACCACTAACCAAGGGATATGGTACACAATTTAGTTCTGCTGCTGCTAGATGACAAGGCCTATGCAGACCCTATCTGGAAGGATGTTCAGATCATTCACCAGTGCTCTTCACATGCTGGGCTTTTGATGCCGGCAGAGCTGTGCAAGCAAAGTGAGATCAGCTACATAAAGTGTGGGCCTCAGTGCGAGAGTCTACGTAAACACACTCACCACCAGTGTCAACTGCACTTGGACAAAAAAGATGGCAACAGGCACTCAGCTCATTATTTCCTTGACAATCTTAGATTACACTTTCTGTATTTTTATTCCGACAGGTAAAGACTGAATTACTTTAAGTCATTTTAGGGCTTAAATACATACTATTCTTTTAACACATTTGGGCGAAATACAGTACCTTAAAATATTAACTTCAGTATCAGTTTTATAGGTTTAACAAGCGGTGTGTACGAACTCATCAAAAAGGACTTCCTGCTTCTTTTTAAAATAGGTAACGTGCCATCTTTCCCCTCTTGTGGCGCCCGTGCAAACTCGAGGCAAGCGTGCTACAACTGAGCTGCGCCCCAGCCCTTCCCTTCCAATGCTGATCTCACAAAAACTCTGTCCTGACTCTCATCTCTTCTGCAGCAACAGAGGAAACAGACTCACAAGGTACAAATGGATTGTGTTAAGATATGTATCCCAGAAAAGGTATAAAGCTCCAGTTGTGTTGAATACTGACACTAGTGGCAGTGAAACAGTCACCGTTACTGTCACTGTGGTGGCCTCAGCAAGCAGTCATGGGGGCGGTCTCTGACTCAATAGGCAGGGCTAGGACCCAGACAAGGGCGAATCTCCTGCCTGACCATGCTTGGAGAACCACAGGCTGACAATCATGAAAGGTACAGGAGAAAGAATGAACAAAACCAAAAAATAAATAAAACTCTTAATACTATTTAAACAATTTCTGGTTTGGAGTACAAAATCCCTCATGAGCTCGACCTCTGCCTTCCAGAGGTTGGTGCGTCTCTCCTCCCCCGACCTCCTGTTTTACTCTTACACGGTAGTGCAGTCTGTGCAGTACGTGCTCTCTCGGGCCTCCTGGCTTTGCACAAACTGCTCCCTCAGCTGGAGGTGCATAGCTGGGATGACAAGCATGTACCAACATGCCTGGCTTGTTGGTTGAGATGGGGTCTCCTTAACCTCTTGCTCAGGCTGGCCTTGAACCACCTCCTGAGCAGCTGAGATTATAGGCATGAACAACCATGTCTGGCCTTAATTGTTTTGAATTCAGATACGTTTGATTTTTAAAGTGTAGTTCCTAGATCAGAAGCATCATCACCTGGGAACTTGCAAGAAATGGAGCTATCTGGACCCTTAGACCTGAATTACATCCTCTTGGGATGAAGCAGGTAATGATTTTTGGGGGAGCGGAGGGAAGGGCAGTGGGATTCGAACTCAGGCTCATCTTTGCTAGGAAATGCTTTACCACTGAGCCAGATCCCAGCTCCAGGTAATGTTGTTTTTTTTTTTTTTAAATAAACCCTCCAGGTGACTGATACACACTAAAGTTTGAGAACCACTACTTTAAAATAGCCAGGTCTATAATACAAATACCACTATGGTAATCTTAACAAGTAAGAGGGTACTGTTTTATTCTAATTCCAGAACATGACTTAAAAATACTCTCGCAATAAAGGTAGAGAGGAGCTTTCTCTGCTTTCTCTGGTGCGGAGGCTAACAGCGACTTGGGGCTTCCTTTTAACACAATTTCCCTCATCTACTGCTGCACAATTACTCATGTTTCTTTGTATTTTCACACCCGCCACCCCCTATTTTGATGGCAGCCAGCTTCTGAACTTAAGCCCATCAAGGGAGGAAGGGTTTCCGGTATTTCTTTTTTGTACCCCATACCCAGTATACAACTAGGCACCCCAAAAGTTGGCAGGAAGAACAGACCTATACCACAGATTAAGGGCTGTGTGTGCACACAGACATTCAAGCCAAAATGAACCAATTTAAACCAGGGGCTGTCATCACTGCTATAGAAGAGGGAGTAAAGAGCTTGGAGGGTTCTTGTTGAGTTGCTTTTTCCACAAACTCTAAATGCTACAGAAAAATCAAAGGAGAATTTTCATTTTGTTTTCTTTTTGGTGGTACTGAGGTTTGAACTCAAGGCCTCACACTTGCTAGGCAGGCGCTCTGCCACTTGAGCCACTCCACCAGCCCTGTTCTGTGATGGGTATTTTCAAGGTCAGGTCTCGAATTATTTGCCTGGACTGGGCCTCAATCCACAATCCTCCTGAATAGCTAGGATTAAAGACGTGAGCCACAGGCCCCTGGCTTAAAAGATAATTTTTAAAAAGAAACTTTCTGTTTATTATTCTTTTAGAAAAAAAAAAATCAAAACTTGATTAGTACTGACAGATAAATTAAAAACTGTAGGTATGGAAAGATGTGCGTAAGGAAGACAGTAAGAACTATGGTATTTTCTATACACTGAATATTACTGGAATCGCCCCCAAAGAACCACATGAGCTTGGGGTAGAGGGGTGCAGTGCTGGGGTCTGAACCCAGGGTACTGTACATGCTAGACATTGAACTACATCCCTAACCCTAAACTTGGTGTTTATTTAAATAAAGCCAATTACAATCCCATTCACAGCAAAGTAAAACTCCATACACATCAACACTGCAGAGCGGCCTGCTTTCCACACTGTCCTCTCTAATACAGCCTTTCCCCAGCTTCCTTGCCCTCGTGACAAGAGATCACCTGCAAGTCACAGAAGACACGAGGCCAGATAAGAACCCCTCCACTTGGTGAGTGGAAATTAGTGAAGGCAACTAACTTGATTACACAGTTTAAAAAATTCTGTGAGATATCAATTTTTCTTTGTCCGTAGTAATGGGACAGGTACATCATAGTTACTTGTATAAAATAAGAACAGTGAAATTTAACTTCTTTTCTTTCTCCAAGTGGACATATTTTGCCTTCCTTATCTTCTGTCCTCCCCTCTATATAAATGCTAGTTAATAAATAAAGCAATAAGGTTGAGGAAAATAAGAACTCATGACTGTCCACTTATCTGCAGTGATGCCTAATGAACCTGCGTGCTATCTTCATTTTACAAATAAGGAAACTGAGGTCAAGAAACTTGCTCAAAGGTACAACGACAGGAACAGTTTCAAACAGACCTTCTGTCAAAACACATCTTTTTTCCCCTAACAGTTAAGACCAAAAGAAAGCAACTGTGTGTAATAGCCTAACCCCCGCCCCCGCCCCCCAGAGCAGGGTATATAATCAAGAGCGCTTTAAAAAGCACCAAATTTAGTTGTGACACCATAAGCATGATCCAAAGATTAACGCACGTTCCTAACCTGCTATTTATCTTATCTAGCACGTTCCCAGAAGAAGTTCCGCTCTGAGAATGAGGGAGGCGACTTCTCAGAAAAGGCCCTTGCTAGGTGATCTTTGGACAGTCAGTATCACATGCCTATTCACTAAGAAATAAAATGTTCTTTTCATTTGTTTGAGAGCTCATAATCTTACAATTGTATGTATCTCTAAGTAGAAAACTTTAAACAAACAAACAAGAAAGTACCTGGCTTCACTTGAAAATCCTTCTTTCTGTGTAGAACCACAAGCACAATTACAAATGAGATAAAGGAACTCCTCAAATCACAGAATGAATTGTTGTAGTGAGAACTAACTCCTTGAAGCTGACAGATTTGACTCCTTAGCCCTAGGGGAAGCCAGGGAAGGCTTGATGCCTCCCTCAAACTCCCAAGAAGAGAATGCTGCATGCTTTCTGGGAGCTCAGTCCTCAGAAACCACACACTGCTTACAGAAAACTACCTGCCGCCCCCACAACATCCACTC